TCTGATTATTCTTACTGCCCAGCTGAGGATGATTAGCAGGATTCTAAGTATGGTGACAAGAGCAGAAATGTCCCTGGGTGGTCTTGGGTTGGGTTAGCTTGGGTTTTCTAACCAGCTCAAACTCTAACACTGTTACTTAATATGGAGAAACTACTTAAGGGTAAAATTGATGTTGGACAGAATAGGGTGAGGAGATAACAATATTAAATTTTGTTCAATAAATGTTTTGTGGTTTTCCCAAGGTAAATTTGGCTTTCTTTTTGATGACCCTCTGCATTTTGAGAAACAGACTATCCTCTCTCAACAGTGAAGTATCTACCATTCAGAATGCAAGGCAAGTTGGAGAAGAGAGTGATAACTACGTAGACATGTATGGTTCCCAAGAGTATAGCTGTATGCAACAGCCCCTGATGTTGCTTCTCAGGGTCTTCTGAGGAGACCCAGAGTAAACAGATGTGGCCATCCTTCCATGGCAACCATCTCAAATCCAGTGGTCTGCTGCTACATCCCATGCAAAATATTCGATGCACCTCTAAACCTAGTTTATGAATCCCTCAGCATTAGGAAGAATTTATATTAGTTAATAAGTGCTACATATACACAATGAAATACTATTTTCCCATTTAACAGAATTAAATCATGTCATTTGTAGCAACATAGATGGAACTGGAGATCATCATGTTAAGTGAAATAAGCCAGAAACACGAAAACAAATATCACATGTTCTCACTCATGTGGTAGCATTAAAAAGTTGCTCTTGGCCAGGAGCTGTGGCTCATACCTGTAATCCCAGCACACTGGGTGGCCAAGGAAGGAGGATTGTTTAATGGTGGGCGCTCAAGACCAGCCTGAGACAGAGCAAGACTCCCATCTCCACAAAAAGTAGAAAAATTGGCTGAGCATGGTGTCCTGCATCTGTAGCCCCAGCTACTCAGGAGGCTGAGGCAGGAAGATTCCTTGATCCCAGGAACTTGAGGTTGTGGTGAGCTTTGATGACACCACTGTACTCCAGCCCTGGTGACAGAATTAGATCCTGCCTTAAAAAAAGGAAAAAAAAAAAAAGAGAGAGAGAGCTGATCTCATAGAGTTAGAGAACAGAATGATAAATACCAGAGGCTTGAAAGCATATGGGGATGGGGGCTGGAAGGATGAAGAATAGTTGGTTCATAGGTACAAATATACAATTACACAGAAAGAATAAGTTCTAATCTTTGATAGCAGAGTAAGGTGACTGGAGGTACCAATAATGTAGTGTGTATTTCAAAATAGCTAGAAGAGAAGACTTGGAATGTTGCCAACACATAGGAACAACAGACACTCCAGGTGATGGATACCCCAAATGCCCTGACTTGACCATTGCACACTCTACACATGTAACAAAATCTCACATGTACCCCATACATATGTACAAGGATTATGCTTCAGTTAAAAAACAAAAGGTAAAAAATCAATATTCTTTGGACTTTTGTCAGCAGTCCTATGACAAAAGTGCAAAGGATATTTATGGTTTCATGACTGTTCCACCACACAGTCTGCACTTACATATCCTACCCTCAGTCCCGGCTCCCTTTCACCCCTCAACCAATCTTCCCTCTGGAAAACTCCAAGTCAACATCAAATTCTCCTGGAGCCTTGGGCAGCCCTTTCCCAACAAACTTGGTGAAAGGGCATTAATCTTTCCAAATTTCACATGTCATTCTTTGGTTGAGTTGCTCATTTGAAGAGACTGTGAAACTTATGGAAATGGAAATCTTCTCTTTGTTATTAGTATATATAATGCCCATGATCCAACACACAGCCAGGTGCACATTACATCCTCAGTAATGTTGCTTAAATGAAATTAGGGATCTTCATGGAGCATCATAACATTTTTGAAATGTGAACTATGAAATGTCACTGTCCTTCTGATTCAAGTCAAAATCCCATCCTAGACCCATGTGGCATTTTTATATTGAGGTATCATAGATAGCAAATGTCTAAGCTAATCACAATCAGTCTCAGAAATCATCTACAGACAAGAGAAGGGGCACCCATGGAGAGACCTAAGGACAGCCTTGATTCTACTCCTCTGTGTGTATCACCTGCCTCCTTTCTCACCCAACCCAGAATGCTGACATTTAAAGCAACAGCTCAGCTCTTCATCCTGGGCTGCACGTGGTGTCTGGGCATTCTACAGGTGGGTCCAGTGGCCCAGGTGATGGCCTACCTCTTCACCATCATCAACACGCTGCAGGGTGTCTTCATCTTCCTGGTCTACTGCGTCCTCAGCCAGCAGGTACCACTGCCCACCTCCCACCCGGGACTCTTCCCATCCTCATCCCTCTCAGTGAGGTGACTCAGAATGTATGTTGCCTCTGCAGGTCCGGGAGCAGTACAGGACATGGTTCAAGAAGATGAGGAAATTGAGAGCTGAAGCTGAGATGTACACACTCTCCAGCAGGGCTGTTTCTGGCATGTCCTAGCCCAGCACGGTAAGATCATGCATTGCTCCCTGAGCATTTTCGCTACTGATCCACTGCAACAGCGTACACCTGTCCCACTGGGTAACAGTGGTGTACGGCAGGTGATACTCCAGGATGGCGCCTGCTGGGATGGCTCTTAGACTCATCAACCATTAGCAACATCTCAGTGTAAAGGTATGCTCTTTAAAAATCCTTTAGTTTTATTCCTTAGGGAACTGTGCTCATCTTGACTCTGACACATGAATGCCCTTATTGAACAGCTACCGTGTGCCATGTGTGGATAACAAAAAAGAAAGTATTGATAATCTGAGGCAGTGGTGCACATTCTACTTACTCAGAGACACGTTATCATAGTCTCTTCCTCTACTTTAGTTCGCTATGTACCTGTAATGAACGTGACCTTTGCATATAACTATCCCCTCATTCTCCATATGTTGAGAGCCCACTTTGTGCAAAACATGGTACATGTGCTTTTCTCTTGACTAGAAGAAACATTCATGAGCACAGGAAGATATGCTAGTGAGCTAAATGATCAGGAATTAATGACCTGAAGAAATGATGCAAAAGCTACTAAGAGTCACAGCACCATCCTTATCCCCCAAGTCAGTCAATGCCACTCCCCTGAATAAAGAAAGTAAACCATGGTGTATACAGATAGTTATTAATGTGAAGAAAAATAAGTATGAAGTTGGATTTAAGACTTTCCTTAAAAGCTTGCAATGGTCTCTGGTATTTTGTAGCACAAATGCTACAAAACCTGGGAAGAGAATCAGAGAGGGCATAGGGGAAAACCCACCAATACGAAGCATACCCAGCATCTGTCATGCTCAGGTTTACAAAACCTTTTATCACATTTTTGTTCACATGCTCTTCCCTTCAGCATTTGGAGATGAGTGTTACGTTTCCATTTGAGAGTTGAAGAAAGTGAGGTTCCTGAGGTTTATGCCCAGTCTTACTCTCAGCTTCCATGGCACTGCCTTCTGCACGAAAGCGTTCTGCATTTCCCTCATCCACTTGCTTGTCCACAATGGTCCCTTCCCACATTCTCTACTCTTCAAATGCCTCATCCTTTTTTTTTTTTATTTTTATTGTTTGGGATTCATTGAGGATACAAAGAATTAGGTTACACTGATTGCATTTGTTAGGTAGAGTCCCTTCTATAATTGTGTCCCACCCACAAGAGGTGAGCCATACCCCATGACCCCCTAAGCCCCCTTCCTCCTTCCCTGTCCCTGCTCCCTCAGTGCCCTACAACCCACCATGTATTAGCCCATCTACTGCCTTCATTCTACTTCCTTAGAATTGAGTACAGT